ATTTACAGGGAGAAGATTCTTATTTTTTGTTGTTTTCCAGTACATCTTGTCTTGGGAGCACCCTTTGATTTTACATCTGTAAGTAGTTATCAGTTAAAGCAATTGACCTTTATGATGTTGTAGCAGTTGATATTTAAAAATTTCTCTATGTTTGTGTCTTCCAGTGTGACATTTGTTTTCTCTGAAAGGTACTGGACATTTCCACCAGCACACCATTACATTTGCACCCCCTTCTGACCAATTTGAAATTAACCAAGAAACATGTATATTACAGTGCAGAAATCCTACAAGAGGCCCTTCCAATTGGATAACAGGCTACGCTTGTGAGGTATGTCTCATATCTATCTATCTATCTATCTATCTATCTATCTATCTATACACATTAATAAGAGATATTAAAGTTACCTTTTCCTTTAATATTCTGTAATGAAGGAGATCCCAGTAATCTCACAGAAGTTGTGAAATGGCTCCATTAAACAGACATCTGCTCAGGGGCCAGTGGAAGAGCCACTTTTCCTTATAATGGAGGAAGAGGACAAGGAAAAGACCCTCAACAATCTCCTGGAACAGAATTTTCCAGAGTGCCCTTCATATTTCATCTTGTGTTCAGGGGAGTTATATTTGTAGGATTGTCATAACAAAATGTGCCTAAGAGTGAATTGTTCATTTTGTACGTTTTCATGCAGGATTGTCATGACAAAATGGGCTTAATAGTGAATTGTTCATTTTATAAACTTCAATTTAATTATTGTGTACATTTTGATTGTTACTTTTAAAATGATGCTACTGATTGTGTCTGTGTGTGTTTTATTGAAATGTTTTAGTTTTCATATAGAAAAATGTATGATGCACGTGTTCTTGACTTTGGAGTAAACATTTATTTTGAATCTTGTGATTAAAGTATATTTCATATAAAATGCCCAGAAGTTTCAAACATTATTTTTAATATCACAAACAGGAAATTACTCGCATAATACAATGCAACGAATAACTGTATATGTCTACAACTAAATTACACAAGATTCATGTTTATAAAATGCTTAATATGTCATTATAAAATGCATACATACATAAAATATGACGTATCGTGTGTACTAAAAGCAAATTACCCCTTAAAAACCCTAAGGTGGCGCTACTCTGTTAAAAAATGTAAGCTCCGCCCCTCACTTCCAGTTCTGTGGCTGCAGTTCTGAGGGTCTGCAGCTGGATACTATTGAAGCATTTCAGGGGACCTTTAAATTATACATTCAATTTGATGTATCCTATTTAAAAAAAGTGATATTTTTCTTTATATGAATTCATGGAAGTGTGCACAAATTAATTATTTTCAAAAATTTGTTATTTTAAATTTGTGTTTTTTTTACACATCACAAATTATTAATACCATATTATCAAGTTTTTGGGGAGTCACATGACATTTTACAACCTGAACTAACCTTGAAGTTTCATAAAAAGAACAAATTATTTTATATTTTAAAGACTTAAACATCTTGACACAGTCATAATGGTATCCGGCGCTACTCTGTTAAAAAATGTAAGCTCCGCCCCTCACTTCCAGTTCTGTGGCTGCAGTTCTGAGGGTCTGCAGCTGGATACTATTGAAGCATTTCAGGGGACCTTTAAATTATACATTCAATTTGATGTATCCTATTTAAAAAAAGTGATATTTTTCTTTATATGAATTCATGGAAGTGTGCACAAATTAATTATTTTCAAAAATTTGTTATTTTAAATTTGTGTTTTTTTTTACACATCACAAATTATTAATACCATATTATCAAGTTTTTGGGGAGTCACATGACATTTTACAACGTGAACTAACCTTGAAGTTTCATAAAAAGAACAAATTATTTTATATTT